CCAGAGCTGCTCCTGCTGCCTCGCCACACACAGCTCCTGCAGCAGCCTGCCCCAGAGGTGGGTGCTGTGGCCTGGGGTCTCCCTGCATTCCCTGTGCTCCGTCCCGTGGCCAGGCTAACAGTAGCCATGCTCCTGTCCAGGTCGAGAGGATGCAGAGCTTCCTGTGGGGAGTTCCCTGGAGGAGGGTGGAGGTGGTACGTGGGCTGCTCTGTTGTCTGGATTGCTCCTAGTTCGACTCCTTTTCTCACGTGATGGGATGCTGCACCAGCCAGCTGGCCTGGAGCGAGGCCCTGGGGGTGACTGTGTCCCCTGGATTGTTAGCAGGCACAGCAAGACCTTCGGTTGTGCTTAAATGTGCTTGCGGGGTTTGACTGTCTTCCCACACATCTCCGGTACCGGCCACTTGGTTGCAATCAGCTGGCGTCAGGGTGGAGGTTGCTGTGGGAATGCACAGGGGCCGGCCAGCCCGGGTGCCCACAGAGCAGCTCAGTCTGTTCCCTGCATGTCTGCCCCTGCATCTCCTCCCAGCTCATGGCGGGTGTTCACGGGAGGACCCCTCTGTAGCTCCCTTCACCACTCTCGGGGCTGCTGCCTCCCTGAGTTCTTAGCCTGGCCCCACTTCGATGCTGACGTTCGGAAATGGAGAGGTCTGCCTCGTCCACTGACCTTCATCCTACCCACACTGCTCTGTGGCGGGTTAAGCCACTGCCTACAACACCAACATTCTGTATTAGAGTACCAGTTCCAGTCCCAGCTGCTCGGCTTCCGGTCCAGCTCCCTGCTGATGTGCCTAGCTACTGTACACCTGGCAATGGGAGGAAGTGCAGCACTTTCTCAGCCCAAGCACTTGGGACCTGTACCCCCATGGGAGACCAGGATGGAGTTCCTGGTTCCTGGTCTTGGCCTGGCCCAGCCCTGCCTGTTGCAACCATTTGGGAGTGGAGTTAAACCAGCAGATGGAAGATCCCTCCCTTTCCCTCTCTTTCTCTCTCTCCCCCCCTCCCCCCGTCACTCTGACATTCAAATAACTAAAAAATAAATAAATAAAGCTTTTTAAAAACAAGAAAGCAACGCAGGAAATGGGATTTCTAAGTATATTTTCAAAACCCCATATATCAGTTTTTCCAATCCAAAGTAACATAATTCCAAAATGCATCAAATCCTTCCAACAATTTCACAGCTCTTCCCTGAACACCTCACAGAAGAGATACAGTGGGACCCATCAGACACGCCCATCCTAGGCAAGCCCACTCCTCCACAAGCTAATGAAACATCATTTCAGGACACTTTAATCTTGCTCTGCCAAGACAGGACAAATTCCTGTAGGTAGGCCCACTGCGCTAGTGTAAACTAGACACATGAAAGTCACCTTACATTTTCAAGGACTTGCAGCCTGGGTAGGTGCACAGGAGCCCAAACAGAAGGGCTGAGTGCCTAGGTTTTCATGCTTTGCTCTAAGTCATGGAACTCTGAACCTTGAACAGGGGCCCTGCATTTTGATTTTGTACTGGATGCCACAGAGGGTGTAGCTATTCACTGCCAAGAAAAGAACAGTTCTAAGTGATACTGTAGGACCTTTGCATTCTGTCTAATCATTTGTTAACTCACAAGCACTCTTGGAACCTGCACCCTCTTGCCTAGCAGGCTGAGCTTTTAAAAGCCATCTTTCACCCCTTTTAATTGTGGCAGGAAGGGTCATGGGAGTTGGTCCGCTCCCGGTGGCTTTCACGGTCAGTGGAAACACAATTCTCTCCCCCACCTCCCCGGGCGATTCAGAACAGCACACACTCCTAGGCTTCTGTTCACCACCTTAAGCATGCTGCTCTGCTCCTGCCCTCCTCCTAGAAATAAAGTAAGTGGTGACAATCTGCTCCTTTGGGGACAATGGCAAGTTCAGCCTACAGAGGCCTGAATCGGTGGCAATGGTTTGCAAAGGAAATTCAAAGAAAGAAGAAAAATGAACAGGGCAGGCAGCCCTTAGGCGCCAAAGATGGTCGATTGAGGGCAGGGGTTGCTTGGCTGGGACTTGAGATGGCCCCAGCAGACCAGGCTCCCGGGGAAGTGGGAGACGAGACAATACCCCAGCTCCTCGGGGAAGGTGGCTGCTAAGGATGTGGGCTGGGGCTCGTGAATATTTAATCCGTACCTTTTAATGGTGTGGTTTCCATTATTTAAAAATAATTCTGACTTCATCCCCTCGCCAAACGTAAACGAAGGCCAATCAGCAGCGAGAAAGCATTCCATGTGGCTTCCTGACCGTTTTGCTCATTTTAGTGCTCACGACTCCACGCTCCCTGGCTGCACTTGAGGTTAAGAAGACGCTGAAGTGCTTCATCCTTCCTCACCGCCCTCGCACAGTTCCTGCCCCTCCCTGGGTGCGTGCCTCTCTTACTGGAAGAATGTCTCGATGATTGATTACCAAAGAAGGACAGGGGTAGTCGTGGATCTTTAGTTCCCCGGCCCCACGCACCCAGATGCTGACCGGAATTAGCGAGGGAGTTCTTCAGGTGGGGGCGGATAGGCTTGTCTCCCAGACCAGTGGCGCATGGGAGAGTAATTCACCTGTTCGCCAAGCTAGTCACCTGCGGACATTATCCCAGGCTGAAAGTCACCCAAGGTGACGGAACAAATTAAGAATAAGCAGCTCCAGAATGAACTGCAAACAGTGATCCAGAATGAAGCAAGGACACCATTTAACCATCTCAACTTTCCCACTGTGACCTAAGCCTACCTGCCTCGGGACATCCGTGACAGCAGATGGTTAGATGGTGTTTTCCTGGTTGTAAAGTGCCTGTTAGCTTCATTATCATATTTTCAGGTCCTGATCTGAGAAAATGCAGGTCACTTCTCACTGCAAGTATTTATTATGGACTTGGAAAAAAAGAACAAAGGTAAGAATTCTCTTCATATAAACCAAGTGCCCGAAGGAGCAGCGGTGCCTTGACAGTAACACCTGGGTGATGGCTTATGTCCTACAAAACTGCCTGACCCCATTTCCAGATCCCCCTCCTTGCTCAGAGCAGCCAGTTCTCCACACATTGTGTGCATTTTCTCGCCTCATGCCTCCACCTGCAGTAGCCTTGCTTCCTGGACTGAGGGTTGGCACCCTTTTATTGTCAGATAGTAAGTATGGGAACCGTTAAAAAGTTTGTGCAAAAGGCATAGTATTTAAACAACTATGCAGGGATTTAAATAATTTTGTGCCAAAATAAGCTTGCTAAAACTGTCTGAATAGGAACTAGTTTGAGATGATAAGCAAGAGGAGACATCAGTTTGAAAAGAGTCCCTATCAAACAACATGAATTCTGCTACAATTGATGCAAGAACAAACATCGAGGATGAAACTTTGGTGGAGCAGTAAAGTCATTGGTGTTGGTGCTTTATGAAAAATGTAGGGGGTGATGCCCCCCAAAGAAAGCAGCAGTTGACATATGAATAAGTGGTTTTAAGAAGGGATAAGATGAAGTTGAAGATGTCAGACTATCCACCCACATCAATTTTCAAAGAAAAAATTGTTAGTCCATGCCCTATTTGAAAAGGACCTAAGATTAACAGCAGAAACAATAGCCAGCATCATAGAAATCTCAATTGGTTCAGCTCACACAATTCTGCCTGAAAAATTAAGGTAGAGCATACTTTCTACTCCATGAGTGCCCAAACTGTTACACCCAGATCAGATGCAAAGAGCAGAGCTTTCAATTTTATGGCTGAAAATGTCAGCAAGAGGGATGAAGATCCTGAAGCATTTCTTCAAAGAACTGCACAATCCCAAAGACAAGGCACAAGCAAACCAGTGGCTACCAAGTGCTAGAAGTGGTCACGTCAAAGCAAAAACTGACAGGTCAAGAGCAAAGGTCAAGGCAACAGTATGTTGGGATACTTGTTGATGTGCTGGATAGCAAAAGGAGGATAGCACCTGCTAGTCTGAAAATGTTTTTGCAAAAATTGGCCAAAGCTTTAGCAGAAAAACACCCAGGGAATCTTGATCAGTCTTTCTGCACCATAACCATGCTCCTACTCACTTCTCTGTGAAGCAAGGTGAATTTGGTGAATTTCAATGGGCAATCATGGGGTTTTACCTTGCACTCTCATTTGCCTCATTCTGACTTCTTTGTTTCCCAAACTAAAAAATGAACCTTGTATATATTTTTAAAGTTTTTTTTATTAATTTGTTTACTTAAAAGGTAGAGTGACTGAGAGAGGAAAAGAGAGAGCAAGAGAACAAGAGAGCGAGAGAGAGAGAGAGAGGTCTTCCATCCACTGATCCACTCCCCACATGTCTGCAACAGCTGGGCCTGGGTCAGGCCAAAGCAATGAGCCAGGAATTCCACCCAGGACCCCCACATGGAAGGCAGAAACCCAAGTACTTCAGCCATTACCTGCTGCCTCGCAGACACATTGGCAGGAAGCCTGATTGGAAGCAGAGGCAGGACTCAATCCCAGCCTCTCCCATGTGGTGTGCAGTCATCCTAAGCAGCAGATTAGCCTGGTGAACTACAACACCCACCTCTTAAAAAAATTAAAAGCCACCCATTCTTCTTCAGTTAATAATGTAAAAAAGAATATATTGCCATGATAAAATTCCTAACACTGTCAATTCTTTAGAGATGGAATAAACAGCTGGTGTGATGGCTTACAAAAGTATCTGGAACTTGATAAGGCTATGCTCAGCAATAAAGTTCATGTTTATTATTTTTATCTTTTTTAAATTTCTGAGGCAGGGAGACAGATAGATAAAGAGACGGATCTCCCATATCCTGGTTCATTTCCCAAATGCTCACAATGGCCAGGCTAGACTAGGCCAAAACTGAGAGCCAGGAACGCAGCCTATGTCTCCCTCAATCCAGAAACCCAAATCCTTGAGCCATCATCACTGCCTCCCAGAGTCTGCATTGGCAAGAAGCTGGAGTCAGAAGCAGCACTCAGAACAGAACTCAGGTACCCTCAAATGGGATGTGGAAGTCTTACTCAGCAGCTTAACAACTAGGCCAAATACTTACCCTTAGTTTTTTCTGTTAATTCTGTCTTTTCGCACACTTTTCGGAAGTCCCCTTGAACTTGAAGCTTTGCCACAACTCGACTCGCAGGAGCAGACACAGACGATGCACAAGCATACTAAGAAATACACCAAGTACTAAGAAGTACATCAAGAATTTCCAGTCAAACTCAATTCACAGAAACTGAAGTTGAAGTTTCATGTCATGGCCACGTATCATGAGCTGGTATTCTGGTTTTGATTGATTTTCACTTGCAAATGGAAAGCCTATCCTTGGTCGGTGTGCCCCATAAAACAGGTAGTGGGCTGGATTAGGTCCATGGCTGGAGCTCACCAGCCCAGCTGGGCCATCGCTAGTCCCTTCCACCCATGCCTCATGTAGCTTTCTTAGGAACCCTTCCCGTATGTTGGCCACGTTGAGCTGTGCTGTCAGGGAACCCCGTTCATATTTCTCTGTCAGCCCTTTCCAAATGACATTGAAGCCACTGCCTATGTGTCTGACTGCCTATCAGGGGGGCAGAGATGGTGCCTCCCTCCTCTCATGCTCCTGGCTCTAGCCTGTGGCTTCCTGATAGGTGACAACAGAGGCTTTGAGCGGCTGATGCATGGAGTTGGACTTTCCAGGATGGTGTCTGAGCCACCTCCCCTGATTGGCCTGGGGCCCTGCAGGGCAATAGATCCTCATAAGTGAGAAAGAAGCATGTGGACCACACTTTGGGCCAGACTCCATAACTCCATTTGGAGAAGAGAAAGCAGTAAGTGCGGAAGGAGCGTGCTAGAGCCTGAATGTGTGCATCCTCCCAAAACTCATAAAGTGAAACTTAGGAATTATGCAATGGCATCCTCATGAATCAGAGTATTGCCCCAATAAAAGGAGCCCCAGAGAGCTCCCTTGGCCTTTGTACCCCGCAAGGATACTGTAAGATACCACCTGTGAACCAGGAAGCTGGCCCGCCCCAGACATGGAATCTGCCGGCACCTTGATCTTGCACTCGCCAGCTTCCAGACTGTGAGAAATGCATTTCTGCTCCTTATAAGCCTCACAGGTTGTTGTTCTACATGTTGGAGCATGAGAACCACCAGCCACACTTGAATATAGACCACTGGTGGTCTTGAAGACTGATGTGGACTGCGTCAATGTTGGGGAGGTTGGGGGAAACAGCTGTCAAGCACCCGTATGTCTCTGGAAGAAGATGAGGATGCCACAAGGGTCCCAGAGGTCACAGGCACACACCAGCAGGTGGGCACCTGCAGCATGGCGGACCATAGTGTATCCGCACAGGTGAGTGAGCCACAGTGTGCAGTGGCTGCAGCAGGAGCAAGACCCCAGAGGGTGAGGCATGGGGAGGGGCTCCCTAGAACAGCAGGTATAGGACAAGCCCCGCCTACAGGTTCAGAAGCCTGGAAAGATGCATAGCACAGGTCAGATGCACAGAGTCTGCAGCCAGCCCATCTGGGTCAAGCCCCAGCTCCACCCTTTACTATCTGGTCGACCTTGGGTAGATGGCTTCATCTCTGTCTGTCTCAGTGCCTCATCTATAACATAGTGACATTGACAGTTCCTGCTGTGAGAATGCTGTAAGGGAGTAATGAGCTAATACAAGCGAATGAATCAGAGCAGTGTCTGACATCTGGCTAACACCATGATGTCATCGTCATCATTATGATGACCATCAAGGATCCATAGCCAGTAGGACCTAAGGGGACATTTTTGGTGCTTGGCACTGAACTAACTACATGCTGCCCCCTGAGTCCCTCATGTCCAGAACGTTCCATGCTCCAAAATGGACTCCGCCCTTCTCCTGGGTTCTCACCTCCCCGTAAAGAACACAGCTGGCTCCAGGTGGGCTTAAGAGCCCTCAGGGATGAAACACATTTGGCTTCCAGAATTGCACCACCCTGGCTTCAAATACCGGCTCCGCTGATTTAAATGTGGGTCAAGGTGTTTCAGCTTCCTGGTGTGAACATGGCCACAACCTCCAGCACGAGGTTCCTGTGAGGATTTCAATGAACGGCTTTCTCAAAAGGCAAAGCAGTCTTGCTAAGGTTATTTAAACACCAATCAACTGCACCTGGTCAGAGCGGGAGTCTTTATGAACAGTAAAAAAGTGGAAAGTGAATCACTGTGAATCAGATGCATTTCTAACTGCTGGGATAGGATCAAGGGGTCCCCTCTTCTGCCGCTGTCCACTCCACACTGCACATCCTGATTATGTAGATTGGCTGTATGAGTTAGCTGTTCCTGTAGAATAAATTACTCCTGTACTTACCAGTAACTCCCATCTTCTGTCATTTCTGATCAGGAATTGGAAGCAGCCTCACTGAGTGGTTTGACTCGCAGTCTCTCAGGAGTTATGATCCAGAGATCCTCGGGAGCTGCAGTACCTGCGGGCCTGATGGCTCTGGAGGCTTTGATTCCAAGATGGCGCGCCCGCATGACTGGCACTGGAAAGAGGCTTCATTTCACCAGCATGGGAACCTCAGGAGGAGCCCTACAGCCTGGCAACTGGCTCGCCCCAGGAGCAAGTCATCTGAGGGAGCACACGGGACACTGCCGTGACTTTTGCGACCCAGACTCTGAAGTCTGGTGCCACTGTTCTCACAATATCCCATCAGTTACACAGGCAGCCCTGTCGCATCTGTGTGGAGACTGCAGAGTGTGCCTATCAAGAGGCAAGAATCACGGGCCGGCGTTGTGCCGTGGTGGATTAAGCTACCCCCTGCAGTGTTGGCCTGCATCCCACTTCAGAGTCCCAGCTGCTCTGCTTCCTATGCAACTCCCCGCTAATGCACCTGGGAACGCAGTGGAAGATGGAGCAAGTGCTTGGGCCTCTGTCACCCGCATGGGGGATCTAGATGAAGTTCCTGGCTCCTGGCTCCTGGCTTGGCTGAGTCCCAGCTGTTACAGCCATGTGGGGGCTGAACTGGTGGATGGGAGATCGATCTACTCCTAACCCTCACCCTGTAACTGCTTTTCAAATAAATTATTTTTTTTTAAAAAAGAGGCAAGAATCATTGAAGCCCAGCTTGTAGGCTGGTCATCCCATTGACCAAAGCCTTAAAGCCCATTTTCTGAACGCCTAGATGAAGTCAACTTTGATAATAGCTTGCTGTTTTACTGCAAGACTCCCTTATCAAACTTCACCAAGATTCCTTAGCCTAGACAGATGCTCTCTCCCAAGGTCAGATTTTGCTGAGTCCTGAGTACAACATGAGTGGGCGGGTTCTCTTGGAGGAGGAGATCAAGGAGTGGGACAGGGCATGTCTTACCCTGAAACAGCTCAGTGTCTTTCAGATATTCTGTGACTGGCTGTGTGCGTGTGGCAGATACCAGAATATTTTACACCAACAGCAGGTGCTCTTCCTCTTGGGAAAGGTCTCTGGGACTGCTATTCACCGGTGGATGTGTCACCTCTAGTCTGAAGCAGTTGAGTGTGATTTATCCATTCTCCTTCTCCTGAGTTACCTGCTGATAAGACGCTCAGCAGTAGAGAAAACCATGCACTAGAAGGCGACTGAGCAGCCTTCTACCTGGATCCCTGAAGGAATGCACGGTGCAGAGCTCTCCCCCTGCCTCTTGAGGCGTCTACACTGAACACTGCACGGTGCTGAGAGAGAGCAGTAAACCTTTCCTGTGTTATGCCACCAGAATGTTCAGGGTTTTGTTACTACAGCTACTGTTACTTACTATGACTAAGACCAATTAAGTTACATTTAAATCTTTGCTATTCTTGCATTTCATTAACTTATTACAAAACCGAGCCATGTCTACTTTCTTTAATTCTTGTGCTTTCTCATAGAGCACATTGATTTTTTCAATAGTAAGAGCAGCAAAGCCCCAGAACATAACTGTAAGGTGCAAATGCATAAAGTCACAACTTATTACAAGACATATGCATCAAAAGAACAAACAGGGAGGTGGAGCTTACAGATGAAAGGTCAATAAGGATTATTTAAAAACCTAATACTATCTATCGACCCAACGTATTCCAAAAATAAAGGCATTCTACCTCGTAATAAATGCCAAAATACCACAAACGTCTTTTTATATCTCAGGAACTAAGGCAATAAAAAAAAAATCTTTAACTACGTAGTTCTAGAATTAAAGGTCATCTTTGAGGATCTCAGTGACACATTTATAAATAATTCCTAAAATCTTACAGGCAGCATCAAAGCTGCTTCTCAATCCCTTTCTATGAAAAAAAAAAAAAAAAAAAAACCTGCTGGGCCACACCCTCGATTTGTAATTTAGACCCCTTTTGTTTCTGTGCTAGCCCGGAGGAAACTGAGGACCACAGGCAAAGAGGAGAACTTGGCAGGGTGTCTGCTCTCGCCCATTCACCGTCCCTTCCTGAGCGTCATCCGCTCCTGGGCGACACCACCCCTCTGGGGCCTCTTCTTCAGGTTCCCTGCGCTCTCAGGTTCCACCTCCTCTGGGAGCAACAGCAGGGACCCAGCCAGGCAGAATTCCCAGCCTCCATCCCTGCTTCAGAGCCTGCAGGTCTTTCTGAAGTCTCACTTGCACAGGGGTCGCCCCCTACTGGCCACATTCATGGTACAATGACCTCAGGCTGAGCTAATAAGCTCTTGCTCCCAAATCTATTCCATTATTTTCCTTTGTTGGCTCATGAAGCTCTTTCTAACCTCTTCTCTAGGGACCTGAGCATGTCTGCTTGCAGAAGGGGTGCTCAGTGGAGGCCCCGAGTGGGCTGGGAGATGACCCTACTGTAAGTGTTCCTATCACAGTCCTATCCGCAGCTCGCTAACCTGTCTGGTGTTGCTGGCTCAGACCCTCACTATGAACAACACATTTCCCCCTTTCTGTCTTTAAAAAAAAAAAGGAACAAAGGATAAAAAAAAAGCCGGGTAAAGAAAGTCATTGTTTACTCTGTGTCTTGGGACATTTCTTTTCTCTAACGTGTTTCCCAAAGCTGGAATTCCCAGCTGTAGCACGTGTTTAAGAGGGTTATTGCAATTTAAACAATTTTGTCACATAAACAAATTAAATAAGCCAAAATAATGTGAACATCATTTTATCTCTTAAATAATAAAGCATAGGTAGAAAAATAAAAGTAACTTTGTTATCTCAAAAAAAAAAAAAAAAAAAGAGGGTTAGGACATTCATGTACTGTAACAGAATTTTCAGTACATTAAAGATGACTAATTCCCCTCCATGTCAATATGTGTACAAAAGAAATGAGACTCCGGCCACTGAAGTTAACTGTATGAAAAATAAAAGAATGTGTGGCAAGACATTGTCAAAATACTTGAACTGAAAAGAAAGAGAAGCCATCATTTTTAAAAGATGGCTCTGGTCAACAAATTGTTGATTTAGATAACTAACTCTAACACATCTGTATTTACATGATCTGGAAGACATAAATTGCTAACACATAGGAAAGTTCTGGAAGGGAAGTAAACTGCAGCTCCTTGAGTATGGGATGAATTTACCAACAGGACTCACTTTCGTCATTGCTACCGAAGTCCTGGTGACAGCCAGCATGAGTGCGCCATCTAGTGGCTTCACTACAAATGCCTTGTGTTGGAATTTGATTCAGAAAGATGCTTTGAATTTCCCATCAACTACAATAAAAGGAGATTCTAAGTGCATTTCCGTGGCATTCACATACAGTTCCAAATTACTTAAACCAACCATGGAGTGAAAGCTCATGAACTTCATGCAAATGTCTGATTATATAACACTGATTCCATCACCTAAAAGCATCCATTCAACGCAGAAACCCCTACAGTGGCTATATACCAAGACACCAGCAGGCTGTGTAAACCAAGTTGCTATCCTCCTGGAAGTTTACTTGCTGAGAGGAACTGCAGGCTTCTCTCTCCTTCTTTGTGTAAGGTATTGAGAGATAGAGTGCTGGTGGCAACTCATAAAGACACAAGGGTCCCCACATTCAGTAGCCATCTTTCAATAGCTAGAGGCAGATGCTGTTCACCCAGCAATAACCTGCCCAAATCTCTTGTTCTCCAAGTGGTGATCTGCACTCACTGTAGATGTAAAGTTGCAGCCTAGTCTCATCAGCTCCAGGCAATCTTGCACTTGACCTGGAGTCTCCTCTTCTCTGAGCAGTGTTCCGGGGGCCATCCGTACTCACCTGAGGTTGTTCCCAACTCTCAAAGGCCCTCAGTCCTGCACAGGTCTCAAATCAGTCACCTGCACCCTCAGTTGGGGAACTTAATGTCAGCCTGCAGGAAGAAATCAGAGGATACTCAGGGAAGAAAAATTAGAAAACACAGTTCAGGAAAGGAGGCATTGCAATCGGATGTACAAGTTGCCTTGAAATAACTGCATTTTGTGGGACCCACAAAATCCAAGATAAATGTGTAGAATGATAAAACAGCAGAGCCAGAAGGGATTACAACTTCTTGTAAAGTTTGAGATCAGGTGACAAATCTGAAAACGTATCAAGCCACCTGCCATGTCCCCAGTATTGCTCTCCGTAAAGCTGTCTTCACACTGCGACTTTTTCTATTACGTGGTTTCCATTCTTTCACCATGCCTGAGACTTCACATAGTTATTAAAAGCTGTCAATTGGCCGGCGCCAAGGCTCACTAGGCTAATCCTCCGCCTTGTGGCGCCAGCACACTGGGTTCTAGTCCCGGTCAGGGCGCCGGATTCTGTCCCGGTTGCTCCTCTTCCAGGCCAGCTCTCTGCTGTGGCCAGGGAGTGCAGTGGAGGATGGCCCAAGTGCTTGGGCCCTGCACCCCATGGGAGACCAGGATAAGTACCTGGCTCCTGCCATCGGATCAGCGTGGTGCGCCGGCCACAGCGCGCCGGCCGCGGCGGCCATTGGAGGGTGAACCAACGACCTTTCTCTCTGTCTCTCTCACTGTCCACTCTGCCTGTCAAAAAAAAAAAAAAAAGGTGTCAATTGCCTTCAAAAATGAGCAGAGTGCACTCTGACTGGTGGAGCATACAATGCTGGTATTATTTGGCTGTCACTGTGTTTCTTCTAATCATGCAGCCCAGGACTGCATGACTTCTGCAACCGTGCAGTATGTTAGTTCACATCATGCTTGCCCATGTCCTAGAATCTCCACTTGACTTGCTCTTACCCCTGCTGCTCTTGGACAGCTGGTTTTGAGGCTTTATGGGACTTCATATTTCTCTGTATTAAATCTCACTTTACAATTTCAATCTATAACTCCAGCTTCTTAGACTCTTTTTGGGCTCCTCCTACTTTCTCTGTCAGTTTTGTGTCAATCACGAATTAGAAAGGTATTTTATTGGTCTTTGACCAATTCTTTATTAGGAGCCACACAGAAAGCCTGCTCACTGTAGCACCAGCAGGCAGCAGTGATGGTTTGAATGTTCACTCCTCTGTCTCCACCAGCCTGCAAGCTCCTTGGTAAACACTAGTCACTCAATAACTGCTTGTTGAATTGAATTGCGAATCTCCCTTTCCAATGCCAGATTAGAGCTTTGTTGATAGGATCCTACTCAAACACTTGTCCGTGGTGAAACTCCCACTGGTCAGCTGGTTAAAGCATGGTCAAGAGACAAAATAACTGTTCCTGACGCTTTCTGCCCAGCTGACAGTTTGCTTCCTGACGTAGCCTTCTTCCTCTGCCACGCACTTGTAACAGCGGCTTAAACTTTCTCAGGTTCCTCTAGGTGCCAGGATCTGTGTTAAGCATTTTAGGTGAGTATCTCATTCCCTTCTTACAACAAAGGTACAATTTTTTTTATTCCCACTCTAGAGATAAGGAAGCTGAGTCACAGTAAGTTGAAGTACAGTGTCAGGATCACATGACCAATAACTAATGAGCCAGAATCCAAACCTAAGTCAGTTTGGATCAAGAGCCAGGGAGACTTATAAAGACCTGACATACCCTAGAAGAAGAGATGGCATGCTGTTTGTCATGTCCCACTGCGGGCACCCATTCATTGCCACACACCAGAGATTTCTACCGAGAATTGATACCTTTTGTTCAAAAGAGACTCCTGGGCACATTGGCATTGTGGTGTAGCAGGTAAAGCCACCACCTGTAACACCGGCATCCCATATGGGCACTGGTTCAAGTCTCAGCTGTTCTACTTCCAATCCAGCTCCCTGCTAATGGCCTGGGAAAGCAGCAGAGGATGGTCCAAATGCTTGGGTCCCTGACACCCAAGTGGGAAACCCACATAAAGTTCCTAGCTCCTGGCTTCAGCCTGGCCCAGTGCGGGCCATTGCGGCCATCCAGGAGCCAAGACCCATGAGGCATTGTGGAGATATTACATTTTTTTCCTGGTTTCATACTTTATTAACTGGTGACAGTTGGCTTTCTGATTCTTTTGAAGATTTTTTTATTTGACAGAGATACAGTAAGGAGAGAGAGAGAGAGAGAGAGAGAGAGAGATCCATCTGCCAATTCACTCCTGAAGTGACTGCAATGGCCAGGGCTGGGCAGCCTACAGCCAAGAAATTCATCTGGTCTCCTCCACTGGAGGCAGGAATGCATGCACTTGGACCATCTCCTGCCACTTTTCCCAGACCACTGGTAGGGAGCTGGACCAGAGCAGGGCAGCTGGGGCACACCTGCTACACCACAATGACAGCTTCCTTTAATTTTTTTAATCTAGCAATTTTTATTAGGAACAAATTTACTATATAATTTGTGTCCCCTGGTTAAGTAATTTAAACTAGAACTTTTAGGATAATTTTCGAAAAAGAATTATAATTGTACTTATTGAATATTCATGGTATTATGTATGATTGCTTATATTTTCTCCCAAAAAGCTGATGATCAAATTTGTTTTGAGACCGCAGATTGTTAAAAATCACTGTCTCTTGATTTTCAGGATTTATTGAATTATTGTGTTTCCACTTGAGAGTGGTGATTTGACCTCTTTCATAATGATGGTATGA